AAAATAAAGAAAGTCTTTTGAAATTATGGGTTGTGTGACTAAAAATTATTGCATTAAAGGTAAAATGAAAATTTTAAAGTTGAAGTGTTACTAAATATATAAAGATGTCGTTCTTTTTAGACTGATAAAAAAGAAAAGAATGTCACATAAATTGGGACAAAGGCGAGTACTATTTTTTAAGCTCCTTGACGTATGTGTATTAACTAACAAAGAAAGATGATAATGATATCCAGGTTGTCGGGTCAACGAGTTCTGAATACCAGATGGTTGAACATAAGAAAGAGATATCCTGGCTATCCAAACAATATCTTATTCCTTAGCATTTTGTTTGTTTAGATTGCAAAGAAATGGAAAGGGAAAGGGAAAGAAACATAAAGTAAACTCTACATATTCCTCCCATACAAACAAAGTACATGAATGTAAAAAGGCCAGCCTGATGTACTAAGCTCTCGCTATGTGCGGAATTTGTAGAAAGGTCAGACCACAAGGGTCTATCGTACGCAGCTTCACCCTACATTTCTGCAAGAAGCAGTTTCCACGGCTCGAACCCGTGACCTCCTGATCACATGGCAGCAACTTTACCAGTTACGTCAAGACTTCCCGTCAAAGTACATAAATGTAAAATGACAGAAAAATGTATACTATTTACTTAGGATGGTACAGGGAAATGAAGAGTAGGAACAAGATGCAAACTTGAAGTCTTGAAAAGAGTCATTCCAAATGTTTCTTTCATATCAACATCTTGTGGTTTCATTTCTTGAGGTAACTTCCAATCAAAGTGATAAAGCATAGCTGCTAATGAAAGTTCCAAGTTCAACATCCCAAAGGAAATTCCAGGACAAATCCTTCTTCCAGCGCCAAATGGAATAAACTCAAAATCATGACCTTTAAAATCCACTGCTACATTCTTAAACCTTTCAGGCTCAAATATATCAGGATTTTCCCAACTTTTGGGATCCCTAGAGATTGCCCAATAGTTGATAAAAACTCTAGTATTTGCTGGAATTTCATAGTCGTCGACCGTGCAATTTTCCAGCGACTCTTTTGGTAGCAAAAGGGGCACAGGAGGATGAAATCTTAGTGTTTCCTTGATCACCATTTTGATGTAACTTAGATTGTGTAGATCATTCTCTTCTACTGTTGGCTTCCCTTTTACTACATTTCTGACTTCTTCTTGTGCTTTAGTTAGTACTTTTGGATTCTTGATCATCTCTGTCATTGCCCACTCTACTGAATTTGAAGCATTTTCACTTCCAGCTACAACCATCTCCTTCAATTTTGCAAGGGGAAGGAAACAATATTAGCCCGTGTGGAAAAAAATTTAAGTTATATACATTAACAGTATAATGGTTTTTTACGCAATCAGTAACAAAGGTACTTACCATTATACGTTACTGATCAATGCTATTAAATAGAGTTACCTCCACTTACTCTTTAATGTGACTTGATTGTGTAAATATCATTTGCAGGATTAATGCAATGAACTTAAACAAAAAAGGGCAACCCCGTGCACTAAGTTCCCGCTATGCAGGGTCTGGGGAAGAGCCGGACCACAATGGTATATTGTACGTAGTATTACCCTGCATTTTTGTAAGAGGTTGTTTCCACGGCTCGAACCCGTGACCTCCTGGCTCCCGGTCACATGGCAACAACTTTACCAGTTACGCCAAAGCTTCCCCTTCAGCTCGGTGCACTAAGCTCCTGCTATGCGTGGGGTCCGGGGAAGGATCAGACCACAAGAGTCTATTGCACGCAGTCCTACCCCTACATTTTTGCAAGAGGTTTGTTTCCACGGCTCAAACCTATGACCTCCTGATCACATAACATCAACTTTACCAGTTACGCCAAAACTCCCCTTTAGCCAGGTACACTTAGCTCCCGCTATGAGCGGGGTCCAGGGAAGGGTCGGACGACAAGGGCCTATTGTAAGCAGTTTTACCCTGCATTTTTGCAAGAGACTATTTCCACGGTTCGAACCCGTGACCTCATGGTCACATGACAACAACTTTACCAATTACGTCAAAGCTCCCCTTCGGAACTTAAACTGTTAGTAATAAACTTAGGATGTAGGAGCATGTTTACCAGTAAAATAGACTTGATGTTGTCAATAGTCAAAGGAACTTCAAGTTCTTCATTTTCCATAATCCTAAGCAGAACATCAAGTAAATCCTCATGCTCCGGCTTGATTCTTTTGTTTCTTTCAGTATGCTCGTCGATGATTTTGTTAATTATTCCATCCATCTCAACGAAAATCTTCTGTATCCTCGATGTCATGCCTGTGACAAGAGCAACAAATGACAGAGAAGGAAAGAAATCACCAATCTGAAATCCACTTACTAATACTGTTCCTTCTTTAGTTGCAGCCCTGAATCTTATTTGATCATCAGCTTTACATCCAAATGTGATTCTTGTAGTTATATCATGGTTTAAAGCAAACAACATTTCAGCCAAGTTAATAGGTTTTCCACCACAAGAAGACGCGATAGATTGAAGAAACAGATTCAACTCCCCGCGTCTAGCAGACGCGAAGGAATTGACTCTTTTTGAGCTAAGAAGCTCAAGGATGCAAATTTTTCTTAGTTGTCTCCAATATGTACCATAAGGTGCAAATGCAATATCGGAATAATTGTAGCCCAAGATCTTTGGCGCGACTAATTTAGGCCGGCCTGCAAAGGCAAGATCATTAGTTTTCAAGATTTTCTCAGCAGCATCAGCAGATGATACAACAATTGTTGGCACCATACCAAGTTTTAGGTACATTAAAGGACCATATTTTAAGGCCAAATCCCTTAATTTTTTGTGGGGTGTTGGGGTCATTAATTGGTTTAAATTGCCAATGAAAGGTAATTTTGTTGGACCAGGAGGAAGTTTGGTTTTTTTCTTCAAACTCCAGAGTTGTAAGAAGATGAGGATTATAAAGGGGAATATGGAGATTTTGATTAGTTTCAATGGACTAAATTCTTCAAGAAAAACTGATTCCATCTTGTATGTTTTCTTGTGTCTGAAATGAATTGAGTATTTGTCACAAGTTCAGTGATAATATGCCTATTTATTGAAGGATGCATCTACTTTTTTGGAATATTCATTAAAAAAAAAGGTAGTCCGGTTAAAGTCTATGAGTTCAATCTTTTAAGTTTCTTAGTATTGAACTCATTATATCCTTAAAGTCATGAGTTCATATCTACAAAATATTGCGATTTCAGTAAATTTTTACATATAAATTCATGTTCGATAGGGCTACATCTGCCTCTGGTACGAATCATCCCGCGTTCACGAAGTATCCGTTTTGTCTCACCCAACAAACCAATAAATTAGCAAAATGTTAGTATCTGCTAGCTTCGTCTGATGTGATGTTTTTACATTAGAATATATAAGAATATTAGTTGCTAGCCATCAAGTTTGACTTACTAGCCACCTCATTTTTTTATTTTTTTTTTGTTTTTTTGCAGAATATCTCTTTCAATAAAGAGTAGTAGATATGTGTATTGGATATGTAAAGTTGTAGTCTTGTAGACAAATTTAGGTACATTATTGGTTCTCTTTTTCGATTGCTCAGCTTACCAGATTGATCAGTGGTTTTCCAATTTAAAATTGAGGGATTTCTCTGAACAAAAAAGGGAAATAAAACAACAACAATAACAACCCTCGGATAATATGTACGCAGACTTTATCCTTACCCCAAAGGATAAAGAGGCTGTTTCCAGGAGACCCTCGGCTCAAAAAAGCAACCGGAGCCGAGGGTAAGGGAAATAAAACACTTGGTAATAATTGAATAACTGCCCATTACATATTTACATTAGTAGTCCCTTCGGTCAACATTATTTTTCTTAAAAAAATTTTGTACACCTCTTAAAAAGATATTAAAAATGTCTAAAGTATCTAAGCTAATCAATGCTCTACTATTTGGAATAGCAAGGGTAGTTTTAGAAAAATAATACTATTTTCTTTGTATTCCATGCCAAAAAGATAACCTTTTTTTCATTTTTTAAACTAATTTACCTTTATGCAATGATTTATAACCACACAAGATATATGTACCTCACTTTTCACCACAAGTTCAAAAGTATTCTCTTTTTTCTTAAACTCCGTGTCCAGTCAAATATGTTCGTAATAAATAATACTATTTTATTTGTATTCCATGCCAAAAAGATAACTTTTTTTCATTTTTTAAACTAATTTACCTTTATGCAATGATTTATAACCACACAAGATATATATACCTCATTTTACATCACAAGTTCAAAAGTATTCTTTTTTTTTCTTAAACTCCGTGTCCAGTCAAATATGTTCGTAATAAATTGCTTCTTGTTTTGTAAAATGTCGAATATTTTAAATAAATTTTCTTTACCAAAAACGACTAATATTTGAGATTACAAGAGAAACATGTTCTTTAGCAGAGAGAAGAAAAGTAGAATTATGCCAAAATCTTCAATATTAAGTGTCATTGAAGAATAAATATGGGAAGTTAAGCCACACATAGGTAAAAAGAAACAGTACCCATATATTGTTGAGAAATTAAAATCTATTGCAAGCGTCCATAAAAAAATTAGGGAAAATGACGTTGTATAGTCATTATAAAAATAATAGCCGAAAAATTGTATAATTTATATATATATATATATATATATATTGTATGTTATATACAAGTTTTATACACTTTTTCAATTACCAAATATAAATAGTTTCTGGCGCGGGCTAAAAAAAATAATACCCCAATAAAATAAATACAGTAGTTGTAACCGTGTAAGATTCAAGGAATGCATATTGTTTCCCGTGATTCTGTTTGTCTTTGGTGCCTTTAATTTAACTAGCGGATCCTGTTACAGGTTATTTTGATCCAAATTTTGTAGCCATAAGTCATAACTAAAAACAAACCTTATGTTTTTTCCTTGTGAAAATTTACAGACTTTGTTTTCTTGCTTTCCCTCCATCCAATAGAACAATATAATTGCATGCATGGATTTGAAAAGGGCAAACCTAAGGTAATATGACATTTTTCCATCTTTTATTTGATTTAATTTTCATAAGAATCTAAGGGATGATGTATACAGAGGCGGACCCCACGATTTGAAGATGGCGGGGCACATGAGCAGACTGCTCAACCGGTGTCTCATCGGACTTTTGATCTTAAGGGTTTCACGTAAAATATAAAGTGTTTTCAACATATATGCACATATATATCTAGAACTTTTACCGAGGTTAACGGGGACGGTGATGTACGTAGATTTTTAGGTGTGTGGGTGCAACTCTTTAACATAAAAAAGGCATATTCTTTTGCAATTTGCTGAGGATTTTCTTTATACTATACCCAATGGTTTCTTGTTCTGAAGTTATTAAAATAACTCAAATTTGTTGCATTCCTTAAACATTCGACTTATCTGTTCTGAAATTAAATTTTGCTTTCTCTATTGTTAAGTTTTTTTGACTTTTATGGGCTTGAAACTCTCTCATTAATGAATATGATATAATTAGAGCAAGTTTTGTATTAGCCTTCATCAATATAGATCTTCAGATGTTCTGAGGTAGGTAAAAAAAAAAAAGTGGTTTGCGAATTTGAAAGAAAATTTACATTTGTTATAGGATTTTAAGCCCTCAATCAACCACACAACACGTGATATGTGAGTTACTAGGCGCACGTTATGGATTCCAACCTTCTTGCAGACAAAAACCTGGTATTTAAGTAGAGAAGACAGACATATGGGCCCATTATCCATTAAGTTTTGAACCGTGTGCCGCTGGCCCTCAGGGCCTATGGAAGTCCCATTTATTAACTTTTGTAGATGAAGCCCATATTGCAAGGACAGAAACTTAAAACGGATCAATTATGGGTGTTAATTGTTATGGACAGTACAGGGTCTTGAAATACTCAAGTATTAGGTTTAATAATTGAGATTGATATCAAAGTTAGTCACACAAAAGAACGATTATATTTATGCCTCTGAGTTTCAAATATATGAATTTATGTTTTTGCCTCGTATTCTGCTAGAAATGTCGAGGGTCTATTGGAAACAGTCTCTCTACCTCTACACGGTAGGGGTAAAGTCTGCGTATATACTACCCTTCCCAGACCCCACTTTATGGGATTACACTAGTCATGTTGTTATTGTTGTTGTTGTTGTTTGCCTCGCATATTGCTAGAAATGTTAGTTGATTTTTAATGTACATTATCCTAACTGCAGTTTGATTTGACACATAATTGGAAGCATGTCCTTTTGCTGTCATCAAAGACGGATGTATGTGTTATGTTGAAGGCTCACCGGACCCAGTAAACTTTGGCAGAAATCTTGTATATACCTTGAAAATGGTAATTTGAATTATTTGTCACCCTCAATGCTAAAAGTCTTTAGGTGGCATTGATTGAACAAAATATTGTGCCCCGACGCATTAAAATCTTGAATCCGCCTCTGACTGTCATGGATAAAGGTGATGTTGAACAACCTCTACTACGAAGCCATGTAAATTCTTTGATTCGTTTTAGTGATATAAACTCTTTCAAGAGAAGGCGAACACAATCGAGCAGCAGTACTGGTAATATCAGTCATATACCACAGAAAAATAATGAGGAACTGTTTCATTCCTCTGAGTTCATTGCAACAGAGAGATTTAGACTCAGGTCTGTGCTCTTGTTTTTGTCTGTCTATATAGGAATCGGAGCGATTTGCTTCTTCATAATCAGGGATCAAATCGAAGGAAAAAAGACTAATGGAATTCTTGATGCAATATACTTGTGTATTGTTACAATGACTACTGTTGGATATGGTGATCTTGTACCTAAAAGCATCTTAGCTAAGCTACTCGCGTGTATTTTCGTCTTCACGGGCATGGCTCTTGTTGGATTTGTTCTAAGTAAAGCAGCAGATAGTTTTCTTGAGAGGCAGCAAATCTTGTTTCTCAAAGCCATAAACATGAGGAAAAATTATAGCAATTCAAATGAGGTGTTACAAGAGGTTGAAACGAACATCGAAAAGTACAAGTTTTTAAGTGCATTGGCACTTCTTGTGATGTTTACTATACTTGGAACAATTTTTTTAAATCAAGTTGAGGATCTGAGTTTATTTGATGCTTTTTATTGTGTTTGTGCTACCATTACTACTCTGGGATATGGCGATAAGAGCTTTTCGACAAAATGGGGGCGTTTGTTCGCGTCTTTCTGGATACTGTTGAGCACGATTTGTTTGGGTCAGTTGTTTTACTCCCTTGCTGAATTATACACAGAACAAAGGCGAAAATCTATGTTCAGATGGGTTCTAACTCGAGAGTTGACAAATTCAGACCTGCAGGCAGCAGATCTTGATCATGACAGTGAAGTCAGGTAAGTTGTTTTATAAGTGTATATTTCGCATTCAATAGACTTAACGAAAGACAGAGCACAATGAAATATAAAGATCTATATAGTCGATGCAATAAGTTAGTTGAGTACAGTCGGACCTCTCTATCACAACATCTCTATATAACAATCATTCACTATAAAAGCCAAGTTTTTCTCGAAATTGATTTTTATGTTATGTTATAATATATGTCCTCTATAACAACACTTGACTATTACAACAAAAAAATATCGGATCAGATTTGATTGTATATGCTTTAGTCATGTTAGTACATTTACGTTTCTATGCTTTGTCTTTTAGCCTTATCAGATTAGATATTTATAGCTGACCCTAGCTCGTTTGGAACTGAGGCTGTGTATGTTGTTGTTGTTGTTGTTATTTCGCGTTCAAGTTTTTTTGTGCTATATTCAAATCACTTTCTTTTTCTTTATTCAGTGCTGCAGAATTTATTGTCTATAAACTTAAAGAGTTGGGGAAGATAACTGAGGAAGATATCTCTGTAGTAATGGAGAGCTTCAAAATGCTTGATGTTGATCATTCTGGCACATTGACTGAAAAAGATATTGCATTATTACACTCGTCTCGATCGAAAATCTGATAATTAACCCCTCTAACATGTCCGACAGCTTAACTATGTTTTGTTCGTAGATGATAGAAAGATTCTAACGATGACTGAAGCCTCTATCTTGAAGGGTCGTACATATATATATGTACATATTCCTGCGGCTCAGATGAGTATTCTTGTTTATATCGTCACGACTATAAACATTTTTTTGTTCCTATTAACAAACAATCCCCTTTTTCTTCGTCGTGAACAAACACAATCCTTACACACACCTAGGAGCATGCACCCTTCCTGCATATTCATACAAGAATCGAGTAGGCGGGCTGAGGTCCTACAAGGTATCCCGTTTTATTGCATTTTCCTTGCAGCTATTTCATTTTAGAGGTTGGTTCACAAGTACAACCTTTGTAACTTTATGGTATACTCATGGATTGATCATTATTTGACTTAACCACCGCAATTTTCTACTCCTAATAGTTTAGCTCGATCAAGATCAAATTTGTTCATCAAAGTGCTTCTCCGATTGTTAAAGACATTTCTTTTCAACCGAGGAACAAAACAAGGTCGCCTTGCAATTAATAAGTTAGTAATTTTTTTTATTATGATTCGTACTCGTGGTACACAGTACCTTTATTTGCGCGTATGCAATTGCATATTAATGGAGAAATAATTTGAAAATTTTGCATTTTCAATCCTATGCACTTGATGTTTGAGTCTTTTGTGAGCGGAGGGTCTATCAGAAACAACCTCTCTACCTTTCAAGGTGAGGATTACGTCTGCGTACACACTACCCTTCTCAAATCCTACTTGTGGGATTGCACTAGGTTCATTGTTGTTGGTGTTGTTGCACTTGATGTTTGGAAAAGGATCATAGATATACTATTGGAGAATATAAGTTAAGGCATGTTAAATTTGAACTAGATTGAGACAAGTGTTACATTTTCAATATCATCTTAGTAGTTCTTTAAACTGGACAAGAATGCACATTATCAATCACCAACTATAAACTGGCCACCATCAGGGACGAATTTATAGCTTAAATTATGGGGCACGTGAACCCATGACCACTGGAAACCAAACTTTCAGATATGGTGTGATTAATATCTCCGATCGAATATCAGAAGTCTTCCAGTTGCTGTTGGTGCCCTGCAAGAAAATTCAGTAGTCCTTCACCTTCTTTTGGATTGGAGAAGTCAACAGCTAATGGTGATATATTGTTGAATGCAAGTATTGTGATCAAAAGTAGAGTTGTGGACAGGACTAGAGGCCAGAAATAAGACAAAATGTTGGCAAAGTTAGGTGCCAAAACAAAGAAGAAACTTAGGACAAATGATGCAGCAATTAATGTTACAATATGATTCTTGAACTGCAGAAGCTTGACAAAGATTTCCATGGGGTTTATTTAGAGTTTTAATCAAACACAAAATGGGATTTATGAATGAAAAGGAGGGAGAAAAGCAGAGGTTTTTGTCTTTGCTAAGATTCTTTGTTCAAAGTGACAAGACTTTGTTTTGGCTCCAAATTGTTTCCCAAGCAATTCTAATCTTTGATACCTTGACATTCAGTTTAATCTAAATGGATTGTGTGTCTAATTGGCTTAAGATTTCTTTTATGTTGAGGTATATGCTAAGATTAAAAATTTTGTGACTAGTGGAAACCTTGAAGAGAAGGCTTGGAACAACGGTAAAGTTGTTTTTGTGTGACTTATAGGTCACAGGTTCGAGCCATAGTAGCAACCAACAATAGGGCAGACTGTTTATATCACATCCATATGAGTTCACCCTTCCCCGAATCTTGTGTGAATACGAAATACTTTGTGCACCGGGCTACTTTTTTAAGGGGAAACCTCTCAACTTCGGCTTTAAGTAATATGATTAAGGAATGTTAAGATCACATTCATGCCCCTTTTAATATTGTTAACATAGCACGGGGTAGCCGATTTTCGGACTGGTCATTTAAAAATAGCCAGCGTTTGTCAAGTCATTGAAAAATAGTCACTATTTTGCTGCAACAGAGATCAGTCCAACATAATATACTGGAGTTCGGTACACCTGTGTATGACCTTCCAGCATATTATGTTGGATCGGTATACTTTGTTGGCTCCAGTATATTATGCTGGACCGGTATATTATACTGGAACTCCAGTATATTATGCTGGAGTATTTTTCCGGATTTTGAACAGTGTTTTCCTTCAGATTTATCTTTACATGAAAAGTGGCTAAATTTCGATTACTTTTGAAACTGTGACTATTTTTAAATGACCACTTGTAAATTTGACTATTTTGAATTTCTCCCTTTAATATTGCATATTGAAATTGCGGGACCAAAGCGACTACTAGCAAAAAAAAAGGGTATGATTTTAAGGTAGAAATGACACCAGGTAGCCACTCCAAGGGGCTGCTATTTAGAAATTAGCCAGTGCGTTTTGAATTTCAGTTTTTCAGTTCAGATTTTCAAGACAAAAATGTTCTGAATTGTCCTGAAATTAAGATTTTTAGTTTAAAATTTCAGGTCAAAATAAGTATTGGTTATTCTTTAAATAGCATCCTTAAGAATGGCTATCTATGCACTTGCTCCGATTTTAAGTTCTAGCCATACAATCAAATCACTTAACAGATAATTACACGTAAATAATTTGATAAGCATTAATTAGTAATTTGTCAATAATATTAATATATGGTGCGAAAGACAAAGCTTACAATGGTGTTTTTTGACAGAATTCTAATCTCAAAACAAGTAAGTTTCATGAGATTTTTGCCTTCAAAGCCTAAAAAATGGTGTATTTGGACTTACTAATAAACGCGGTATTATTACTTTTAGCCCCCGCCAGAAACTATTTACATTTGGTTACCGAAAAAGTATATAAAACTTGTATAATTTTTATATATAAGATACATAATGTGTGTGTGTATATATATATATATACAAAATATACACAAATTTTATATATTTTTTCGGCTATTATTTTTACAGCGGCTATACAGTGTCATTTTTCCAAATTTATTAGTGGAAGGGAAAAATAAAAGTAGAGAATAAAGGGAAAACAGAGGGAAATTAAAATAAAATTCTATGATAATGAAGAAAGAAAGTGATAGCTAGCTCTATAAAGATAAGTCTTAATTTGAAGGTTTTTGGTGAGATATTTTTAGGATATATACACATCAATACCTACTACAAAAACACTGCCCTTGATGTTAATTGTGTTAGTCCATTGATAAAGATTTGACCCTTTGACACAATGTTACTAGTGCATATATTCAATTACATTAATTATAAACTAAAGCACCATTACATTAATAATCCAATAGTACCACTGCTTTTAGTGGCTTGCAACAGGCCATAGGTATCAGTACCTAAGCAAACCACAAAATGATTATTTTCTAGAAAATTATGAAAATTTGAAAATCGTAGGGTTCAATAATGTGCACTAATATCGTGCAATCGATAAGTTCTACTTCATCTGTTTTAGTTTATGTAATCATATTTTTTTTTAATCTGTTCTAAAAATATGTTTCCTTTTCAAACGTCGGAATAATTTAACTTAAACTTTTCAATTGCGAGATAACAATAGGAATATTTGAGTGAAGAAAATATTAAATGCGTCAATGGAGGTTAATTAAAATAGGGGACTCCTAATTAAACAAGAAAAAAGTAATTAAGGCATAATTAATGGAGTGATGCGTAGTATAAAAACAAAGAGAGCAAAAGAAGGAAGAAAAAGAAGAAAGAAATTATTAGGAAATCAAGATTAGAACAAATTCCTTATCACAATTTACCTACTTAAAGCTAATTATCAAAATATATTAATTATTAAAGTAGAAATTATAGAACCTTTACAGCTTAGCTTGAAACCCCAATGAGGTCACTTTCAGAGCTATAAACCTGGAATTTCATCAAATTATTGTAGAAAAGAATTAAAGAAATCCCACTAAATTTGGGGTCACTTTTAATATTATATCCTTTTTAATTTCATGAAGTAATTAATGTAGAAAATAGACCCAATTTGCCAAATGCCAATCAAGATATGTTTGAATATTTGTAATCTGATTGCTTTATTTTTTTCCATTTTAAATATTTAAATCAATAGCTAATTTGAACGTAGGATAATATTACTTATTTTTTCATAAAAATTACCGCACTTGGTATTTACACCAAACTAATATACTCATGATATATTTTCTGCATACTTTTTCATCACATACTATGGTTAATTATTGAGTACTTTTACGTTATTTATGACTTAATACGATAAAATATATTAATTTGATGTAAACATAGATTATATCGAGTTATTTACCTATTTTTGGTTTTTTTTTTGCCTCACCAGAAAATTGATCATGTACAGCTTGAATATTGCCATTTGCCAAGTGTCATCCAACTATGAAAAGCTTTATATAATATATCTACAAGGGAAGTATCAGTATATAGTTTTTTCTTTGCCCATTTGCTCTTATCTTCAATTATATTCTAATCATTCATACTTAAAAGCAACTCAGTTTGTTTATGTACTTTAAAGCAAACTCAGTTTAAACCCTTTCAATTATTTATTATCAACACCTCATTCTCTTTGTATTTTATCAATGATTCCATGATTTTATGGAGTGTTTAACGCTCAAGCAATTTATTTACTTCTCGAGTAGGAATTGCTTTCCATCAATATTTAGAGATTATGTTTGGAAAATATCACATCAATATTTCCCCTACTACGCAGAGGCGGATCGAGAATTTCAAGATGATGATTGCACTATTATGAAGAGGTGGATCTAGAATTTACATTTGACGTGTTTTTAAGGGATCTTTATATAAATAGCCGGTCATATTCATTGTTACATAGTTTATACGTTGATTATACATAATTATACACATATAATATATAAATTATGCATATATTATATTTCCACCAGCTATTTTTAGTTTAAGCGATTGGGTGGGTGTCATTTGGGTTAATTCTTCTTTAAAATTANATATATATATATATATATATATATATCTATACTTCACGCCGAAAATAAGACCATCCAGAGTGGGATTTGAACTACCAATTTCACATGTAAAGGTGCACTCAATAATTATTCCACCATAGGAGTTTTTGAGTATGGACGCACATATTTAAGTAATTTTTAAGAAATATAATATTATTGTACATAATTTAGGGAGAGGATCACGGGTTCACGTGAACCCATATTTCTTAACATAGATATGCCCTTGCTGCTGCGTAGCGAAATGATGGAATGAATGGTATTCTTTTGCCCTTATACAGACGTCTCAGATTCTGAACCCTGAGAATAAAAAAATTCTTGCAGAAAGCGTTTTCCCCTTAAATAACATTATTCTGCGCGAATCTGAATTAGTCAGACTAATAGGTTCCGCATACAAGATGGTTAAACCAAAAAAAAATCTCTTTCCCTAAAAGGAAATAGGAACAAAATAGAAAAAAGAAAAGAGCTCTATTTTAGAAATGAAACTTGATTACCTACCACCACTTTTCTGCTTAAGGAAAGCTTCAAAAAGCAAAGTCCAGATAAGTGTAGGACAACTTAGCCTTTATTCCCTAGAATTTGTCTGGTTTAGTCTAATTTCACTTATTTTTTATATTAATATTTCTTGTACTCACATTTTTTTAATTATTTCTTTATAATTTTGTTCCACTAAAGACAAATTTCAAGAATATGTTACAGCTAAACCATACAAATTAGTAAGCACAAAAGAAGAGTGTGAAGCATATAAAGATTTTGTTCCATATAATCATTACTATCTTTTTTAAAGTTGAGTAGTTAAACTAGGAAAAAGAATGTGGAATTGCATTAAAGTTTCAAATAAATGGAAATATTATATTTAAAAAAAATATAAGATATTAATAATAAAAATGGAGGGAATTAAAAACAGCTAAGCTGGTTTTGATTTGTTATTTTCTGAGGTTTGCTTCAAAAGAAGGTTAAGTCCATCCTCTCAATTTATTTATAAGTAATGGACTCTTTAAATAGCTATAATTACACAAGTTTCTCATTCACTACTTAAATATTATCATAGTCATTGCTTCTTTCTTAGCACTATAGTTAAAAGTTATAGCAACAGAAGAGAAAAAGAAAGAAAGAAATGTCAGGAATATATGAACTTGGGATTGAAGAATTTTTTCTAGCTCATCCTGATCCTGTTATTTTGGAAATCAATAATTTGCAGAACCAACTCAAAGGTTAAAAACTACTTTTAGTTTTCACTTTCTGTGTTTCTTGATTATGATGCTATCTGGTGCATGAAAGGGAGCTTTGGCGTAATGTTGTTGCCATGCGACCAGGAGGTCATGGGTTCGAGCCGTGGAAACAGCCTCTTGCAGAATTGCAGGGTAAGGCTGTGTACAATAGACCCTTGTGGTATGGCTCTTCCCCGAACCCCGTGCATAGCGGGAGCTTAGTGCACCGGGCTGTCCTTTGATGCTAGCTGGTGTATGTATTCCTATTGCTATGACAGAATTGTGCCTTCAATAGAAGTGTTAGAAGTTGCTATATTGTCTTACTTACTGTTCATTTTGAAGAATCTTCTTTTCTCATAATCTAACATGCTTCAGTGATGAATAAAAAGGGTAGCCTGGTGCACTAAGCTCCTGCTATGCGAGGGTACGGGATGGGTCGAACTTCATTGGGTCTTATGTACGTAGTCTTACCTTGCATTTCTTTAAGAGGTTTTTCCGCTGTTTAAACTCTGACCTCCTGGTCACATGGCGGCAACTTTTACCGTTGTGTCAAGGCTCCCCTTTATGCTTTAGTGATGTATGTTATCAAATTTCACGTTCATAGTTGTGTTGGTGAGTAACAATAGTTGCTAGTGGAGTTCACAAGTTTATGTTTTCATGCTGTTGATTATTTGATTTTCATGTTAGAGCACAGACATTCAAGATTTTGAACCAATGACAACTACATAAAACAATCCAAGAGTTGGGTAGTTGTCTAAGTTTGTTGTGGTTCTGTCTGTCCAGCTTGTCTTAGCATAGGCCAAACAATAATTCAATGATCTGCAGTTTTTAGACAGTTACTAGTATAGCCTTAAACCTCTAATTTCCACTGCATAAAAGTTTGCCTATAACACACTGCACTAATAGAAAGGGCAGCTCGGTGCACTAAGCTCCCGCTATGCGCGTGGTCTGGGGAAGGGCTGGACCACAAGAGTCTATTGTACCTTACCCTACATTTCTGCAAGAGGTTATTTCCACGGCTCGAACCTGTGACCTCCTGGTCACATAGCAGCAACTTTACCAGTTATGCCAAGGCTCTCCTTCACTGCACTGATATAAGAGCAAAATTTAGTTATTGAATTTCAATTCTTGATGTGAATTTCGTTAGAGAAGGATCGCGAACTAGGAGCAGCTCAAAGTGAAATTAAGGCTCTGAAAGCAACAGAAGTGCTCAAAGACAAGGCTCTTGAAGAGGTACTCTTAAAAGAAGACCTTCATAAAAATGCATTTACTTGTTATTCTTGAGCTATTACTATATTGTATTGATAATCCAATTCCTATTTTCTACAGCTTGGAAATGAATTTCAGAGATTGGAGGGAAAGCTGAAAATCAACGAAATGCTTCTTGAACAAAAGGTATGACATTTAATTGTTTTTGAATCGCGTGCTATTCAAAAGCAACCATTTCCTTACGTAAAAGGGCATACAAATTATTGGCTATAACTGCAACTGCAGAATCTTGATATCAAACGACTCGCTAATGAGAAGAAAGAAGCACTGGCTGCACAATATGCTGCTGAAGCAACACTTAGAAGAGTATATGCAGATCAGAAAGACGATGATGCACCTCCCCTCGAGTCCATTATTGCTCCTCTCGAGGCAGAGATTAAGATGTATAAGAATGAGGTACTTTAAAATGATAAACTCATTCCAGGCATGGGCGTAGCCAGGGCTGAACCCCTTTCGCCTGAAAATTACATTATATATACTTTGGCAAAATAGATTTTTATGTATATATATTAAATGTTGAATCCCCTAGACTTGTTCGTATATTTACTTCTTTATATTTTGAATCTCCTTACTGAAATTCCTGGCTCCGCCACATCTCCAGGTACTTCATTTTCTTCAATTTTTTGGTGGCAATAACTTTTTTTCTCTATCCCTTTTTCAGATTGCAGCATTACAGGAGGATAAAAGGTCATTGGATCGACACACTAAGTCGAAAGAAGCAGCTTTGCTTGAAGCAGAAATGATACTAAAAAGTGCTTTAGAAAGGGCATTAATAGTAGAGGAGATTCAAAATCAGAACTTTGAGCTTAGAAGACAGATTGAAATCTTCCAGGTAGGAATTTTAACCAATTCCATTTTGTAAAAACCAGATTGGTATATGGCCTAACATGAATTTCTCTATTCAGGAGGAAACCAAAATACTTGATAAGACGAACCGTCAAAAGATTCTTGAGGTGGAAAAACTTAGCCAAACCATTATAGAGCTTGAGGAGGCAATTCTTGCTGGAGGAGCAGCAGCTAATAGACTTCGCGACTACAAACGACAAATTTCTGAATTACAAGTAAAAAACATGCACACATATTTGGTAATACAACTCGTCGACTCAGTTATAGATCATAAGACATGAGTTTTTTTCAAACTTGTAGGAGGAAAAGAGGACATTGGAAAGGGAACTAGCAAGAGTTAAGGTTTCAGCAAACCGAGTAGCAACTGTCGTGGCAAACGAATGGAAAGATGAGAATGACAAAGTTATGCCTGTAAAACAGTGGCTAGAAGAGAGAAGGCTGTTGCAGGTCATTAAACCATAACATCCAAATGCAAATGAATAACATTTAAAACTCATCTATTACATTTCTTGAAATAGTTTTCGCCTTGGCATTGCAGGCTGAGATGCAACGACTGAAAGACAAATTAACTATATCAGAGAGAACAGCCAAGGCAGAAGCACAACTAAAGGTGAGCTTATTCATTGAAATTAACCTGATGTGTTTTATCCTCATTCTGTCAATGTTTTGCTATAGGATAAGCTGAAACTGAGACTCAAGACACTCGAAGAAGGCTTGAAACAAGCGTTCAACGTCTCTGTCAATCCCAATAGAAACCATGGATCCACAAAAATTCAAAAGACCAAACATTTTTTTGGTGTTCTGTCAAACAATACCGGAGTAAAGAAGAGATCGACATCACAACCAAGGGTATCCACCATTAGCCGAATCACTAAGCAGGAAAATACGGATCAAAGAAGCGATGATACTTCTGGAGAAATGAAGCAAGTCATTGGTCTGAAAAAGAAGAGCTTATGGGATTCTCGAGATAAGAACGTTGAGAGTGTTGGAAAAGAAAATGCAGAAATGAATAGCAAAGAAATCACACACACACAGAAAATCAAGAATCCAGGAGATGACGAAGAAGAAAACAAGACTAGTCGAAGCATGGAGAGCGATAACGATGATATAGTATCAGGTTTTTTGTATGACAGGCTACAGAAAGAGGTTATCTGTTTGAGGAAATTTTGTGAGACAAAGGTATCTGCTTTGAATACTAAAGATGAAGAAATTAAGGTGAAGTCTTACCATAAACAAAACTCTCTTGCATTTTTTTATCATAAAGTCCTTACACACACTTTATCATCTTCCTTTTATCATTTATCAATCTGTTTGGTGTTTTCAGATGCTAACTAAGAAAATCGAGACGCTGTCAAAAGCTATAGAAGTCGAAGCAAGAAAAAGAAAAGTTAAGCAACAAGGTCAGTGAAAACATCTTGAAGATTCATGTAAAAAAGCAGAAAAAGTGATCTTGGTTCATCAGTCTTGACTCTTGCATTTATTGTATATAGAAAAAGGTGACAGTAATCACAGGAATAAAGATCCAAAATTCATTTGTAATTTGTAGAGTGAGTGACTAACTCTGTCACAACTAGATGGTAATTCTTTTGTTTTGGTTTCTTACTTTTCCCCCATTGTCCAGGTCCTTGTACAGTTATTTTCAGCTTTAGATTCAGATGAATAAGAATAATTGAAAGTTTGATCTTTTTTGTTAATACCCACAACCCCTACAGCAGAGTGCTTCTTGTTTTCTCCTACGTTGTTCGGACTCCCCGAAAATGTCTCTAAATGCATGTCGGATCCTCCAAAATAGAGTATTTTTTGAGGATCCGATACGGCAACACTATTGCGGCAGCATTTTGAAGAGTCCGCGCAACACATATTTTCTCCAATAACTATACAATTATGTCATCATATTAAAAATGATCTCCATTCCAGACTTCTCCCTTTCCAAAATAATGTGGCGAAATCAAGAAACAGAACTTAGTCAACTTTGCACCTATAATAAAAGGGAAAAAAGAAGCAGCTCTCATCTTCTTGTTATAACAACTCTATAACCTACTAGTCAGGGATGTGGTGGGATCGACATGATCCTTCCATCTTAACCGGAGGTCTCGAGTTCAAGCCCTGAATTAGAAAATTCCTGGTAAATAGAACTTTCCCCTTAAATAGTCGGGCTAGTAAATTCCGGATGCCAGATGGTTGACAAAAAAAAAAAACTCTATAACTCCACTAGTCAGAAAAAAAACTCTATAACTCCACTAGTCAGGGATGTGGTGGGATCGACATGATCCTTCCATCCTTAACCAGTGGTCTCGAGTTCACTCCGTGAAATAAGAAATAGAACTTTCCCCTTAAATTAGCCGGGCTAGTAGATTTCGGATACCAGATGGTTGTAAAAAGAAAAACTCTATAACTCTGGAATAGTAGCTAAAGAAGGCTTCCACCTTTTACAATCATCTCTTACTCTTAAAGATTGAATTGGGATTTGTCCACATTGGAGCTGTTTTACATTATTCACAAGCAGCTCTAACTGTTGTTTTGTCAGGACAATCTTGATTCTCTGGTTCTTGCAACTATTATCACTCATGTCATTAGATAGACATCTAGGTGAATGGAATTGCTGGTTGAAATGTTGAATAACATAATACATCTCTTTATCAGATCTTAGCTTTTGTTCATTGGCTAAATCTTTTACATCTTCATTTTCTTGATTTAGAGATGAAGAAAATAATGTATCAATACAATTCCCCATGATTAATTGCAAGGAAAAGTTATGATTTATGACCTAAACCATCTCTATTTATAGTGCTGCTACAGCAATATTGATACTAGAGGTGTTAAATGGGTGGTTTGGGATGATTTTGGGCGGGTGAAAACGGGTTGAGTCAATAAACGAGCGGGTCAATGACTCGCCCAAAAATAACTTGGGTTGAGATGGACTGAGTCAAGTTGGGCTAAAATTTGGGTAATAGCCCAATCTGTCCAACTCTTATCAAGCTTTAATTAACATGTATTATTTTCTTATGAATTATTTAATTATCAAATAAGTTTTTTTTTATTTTGTAATAATCATATATAAAATATCAAATAAAAAAATTACTTTTAAAATAATTTAGCATAGTTATTCATGGCTGAATTTGGACTAAAAATAAGCCCAAATTTTGATGGGTTGAAATGAGTTATATGAAGATAGGCTAAATTCAACAAATGGTCGGATCAATGACCAACCCAACCTTGGAAGAGTTGGGTGGGTCAAATGAGTCTGTGATCAAATTGCCCCCCTAATTAATACCATGTCCAAGACAAAGAAACGTGCATGCCACCTTTAAGACCTTCCCTTTTTTTTTCTAGCAAAAGCAACGTTTATTATTTAAAATTCTGCAATCATGCATATTTTAATTTCAAGAAAATGAAAGAGTGAAGTATTATATGGAAAAAGAACTCATAAAGAAGCTCTTGAGCTATTTTAAGGAACTCTTTTAGGTTGACTTTTACCAAATAAGAGTTGTATATATATATATATATAATACTCCAATAAGCCTTTCCTAAGTCAGAGCCTGCATCATTTTCTGTATGTTTTACCTAATGAGAATGCAATAGTCACACAATGTCAACTCAAGGTCGGTGCCAAAGATGAGGGAGATAAACTGTACCTAGATCGCTAAGGGTCTATATTGATTATTTTCTGCATTGCTCTTTTGGTGATTCGAACCTCTATTTTTTTTTTCTGTTAAAGGTAAAGGATGCTCACGGCTAGGCTATCACTCCATTATTCACTCACATTCAAGAGAAGTACTAGTAACTGCAAGGGTGAAGACAGAATTGGAGACAACGGGATTCAAAAAAATGCTAAAATATTATAGTTGGAAGTCGAACCAATAACCTACAAAAGAAAATTTTTAATTTCATTTCTCACTAACATTAGTATATATATATATACATAAAAAAAAAAAGATCACTTATGCGCAATGCAACATTCTGATAAAGGGAACTCAATTGGCAACCTTGGGGAAGATAGCTACTTGGCTCATTTTGGTGGTGAAATTGTTTGTTTGGAAATTTCTCGAAAAACTAATTATAGGATCTTCTCTCTATTGAAACAATAGAAGGGCCATTATGTTCATTAATAAAGAATTTACTAAATGAGATATGGAAGCGAAATTGCGCCTATGTTCCTTATTTGTGGCGCATAAGCCTACATTTGCTCATCACCTACAACAATAGAAACAACACAAATACATTCATAGAGAACAAACAAAGTGGAAAATAAAGAAATTAATTATAGAAGATTTATTATACTATCACAAAGTAATATTTAAAATAGGGCAATAATAGAAGATTTATATAACTAGACAGTTAAGCCGTTTGGTCACCTACTTATTATTCTCTTTCTGCACTTTTTTCTTTAAAAGAAAACTATACCTTGTACATCGTATGTGAAATTAATGAATACAATAATAATACAGAGAAAAGGCATTCACATGGACCCAAAACTTTGTTTTGGACACATTTAGAAGCCCAATAAAGAAAGTACAAAGTAGGCCCACAATGATTGGGTCACATTACATAATTGTGCAACCTGTAGCATTTTCTTCACTAAAGTATTCACTGTTAACGTAAGGGCCCTTTCCGTAGCCAGATGGGCCAGGGCCAGGCCCATATCCATACGAGTAGTTACCGTAATATGGGGTTGGGGCTTGTGGCACCGGAGTTCCGTAGTACTGATAACACGGGCCTCCGGTGTAATAACATTGCCCACAACCGCATCCATGTGCTGCTGCTTGTGGGTATCCTTGGACCGGCATCATCATCACCGGCTCTGATACCCACGGCATTGCCACCATTGCAGCTGCATGACCGTCTTTGGGCTTTTCGGGCTCTTTTTGTTTTGGCTTGTCAATTATGGTCGGCTTTTCTTGTTTGGGCTTCTCGGTATCTTTTGCTTTGTCCTTGGGCTTCTCGGGCTCTTTTGTTTTGTCCTTGGGCTTCTCGGGTTCCTTGGGCTTTTCAAAGGTGACAGTCTTACCTTTCTCAGGATCCTTGGGCTTGTCTTTGGGCTTTTCAGGCTCCTTGGGCTTTTCAGGCCCTTTGGGTTTCTCAGGTTCCTTGGGCTTTTCAGGAGCTTTGGTCTTTGCAGGCTCTTTGATCTCAATGCTCTTGATTGCTTTTCCTCCTTTATAACACAATTTGTCGCGAATTTTTTCTGGACTGCAACATACCACAGTGATGGTGACAGTATTGGCTTTCTCATCATACACTTGGTCTCTAACTTCTGCAATTTAAACCATTTTAACATCAAATATGTACCTCAAAAAAATCAAACGAAGTTTTTACACTATTAGGTCAATAAAAAATATTTACAAATAAGCTAGATTATCTGCTACAACAAATCATAGTATTATATTTCTTTACACAATCACTATATATAAGTTATAAACCTAAACTGAATTCTAATCTCTATCATGTCAGCTCTAAGAGTATGAAAGAAAAGA